TGAGGCGAGTGAAACCAATCTGCATGGGTTCCGATTCAACGGAAGCTGTGGCCGCTGGAGGATACACAGGTAATTGGCGAGGAGCACGTCGTGCCCGCATTAGATTATCAATGCGGATGGAGAGCTCAATGAACTGTTCGAGGGTCCTCCCCTCATCACGGCAGGCAAGCTCTGACTGTAACTCGACCGCGAGTCCCTTGCGATACAGCAGTTTAAGTGGTTCGTCCTCCCATCCTGACTGTGCTGCGAGAGTGTGGAATGAGAGAGCATAATCCGCCGCCGTGCTTCGTCCCTGTCGCAGAGCGAGTAACTGTTCGCCCGGCTCCTTTCCGCCCGCTGAATGCTCGAAAACCTCGCGGAAACGTCTCAGGAAACAGTCAAATGATGGGAATGACAGCCGTCTCCCTTCCCAAGCAGCAGTGGCCCAGTCCAGCGCTCGTCCAGTTAACAGAGAGCACACAAATGAAACCCGACTATCGTCGGTGGGGTAGAACTGCGGTTGTTGATTTACAAACATGGAGCATTGTAATAGAAAGCCCTTACATCTTTCCGGTGAGCCGTCAAACTTCTCGGGGAAAGCCAGACGTGGGCTGGTCGACGAGTGACTGGGACTGGAAACCGTTTGTGACAGAACGGATGGAGGAATGCTAGGCTCAGGCATGGTGACGCGCAGGCCTTGTAGTGTCCTCACCATCTCCTCCGTGAGCGAGGTGAGTCGTTGCAGCTGTTGTTGATGAGCCGCTAACATGGAGGCCTGGGCAGAAACCTCGGTTGTTAGCTGATAGATCGCTGCTGGTTCCGTGTGTGGCGAAGTCTTCTGTAACGGAAAGTCAGAGGCGTGCAGATCCATTTGCAGCTTTATTGAGAATCAAAGGCAGAGTAAACAGGCAGCGTCACGAACAGCAGTGATAATCCAGGAGAATAAACAGTAGCAGAGCGAGGGTCGGGGCAGGCGGCAGAGAATCACACTAGTAAGAACAGTCTGAGGTAATACACAAGAGATGACAAGACAGGGGATAAACGCTCAGAAATGTAGCCGGGGCAATACAAGACTTCGCAGACACTGAGTCTGGGAGCTGCTTAAATAGGGAAGCTAAGGGGAAACACCTGTGCCAGTAATCAGTCCCAGGTACGGGGTGTATGGGAAATGTAGTCCATGGACGTTAGTACTCGGGAGAGGGTGCCCTCCGGAGGCCGTCGGAGAGAGCCACAGAGGCCTGATTCGTGACAGTTATATACACAGCTACCATAGTGGATCATTGTTTTAGTTTCATAGCAAAGCTCTGTTAGATCTTCTAGCACATGGCACTTCATGAATGTGCATAATAAAAAATATTTATGAAAATAAACATTGATGCACAAATTATGTACTGACCTTATAAAAGCAACAACACACTCAAGGCCTCATTCCTAACAAGGCCCTTTGGACAATATTCATAATAAAACAAGCCTTTCCTTGTTTTTACCTTGTTGCACCTAGTTGTACATTAATGCAGTCAATCACTACTTCTTTTACTATAAAATGATAAAATTAAAATTAAAAAGATAAATGAGTGCACAAGTAATAATTCATTCAAGAGGGTTAAACGGATGGGGCCTTCAAAATTCTCCCTGAAATCCCCATGAACACAAACACACATCCACATGCAAATAGGAGGATTGTAATACAGTCTGTGTGAGTTCTGCTTGACTATTTTAATATTGTATCCATCTTGGGGATTATTCTCTCTTCAACAGAGAGACCACTGCTGGAGTGCTGCAGTACTCACAGTATACCCTGCTGCTCTCAACAAGATTAGAGACCCTGCACTTTGACTCCCAATCCTGCTCTCTTCATGGTGTCTAACCACTTGGCGCCCCACCGCTCACAGTTATAGAATATGGCTAACATTAAATCCCCTCGCCCCCTGACTTATTTATTTGTGATGCAAGCGTTCTGCACATCTAACATTGGTAAGAAAAAATGTATTGGGAATTAATGGGTCACATATATTGTATACAAGAGTCACTGAAAATCAAGACAAAAAGCTTTTGGATGGCTTCTTTTTAATGGCTAACAAAAAAGAACTATTCACATACAACAGCTACCTGATGTTATTTGGCAAAAGATGACCAGTGTGATTAGCACAACTGCAGAGGAAACAGCAGACATTCGTAAAATGAATAGACAGAAAACCTAAAGTCCATCAGGATAGTTTTTACACGTACTGTTGTGGCATTTGCTTTAGTCGAAAGTGGTATATACTATGTTGTGTTTCAATATTGCATCAAATGACTCTGTTATTGCCTATTTACCATTGCAAAGCACAGAGCAAAAGCTATTAAACCCTGTTATAGTCAATACATTCTTCACAGTCCTTCATGATGAAACATACTTTTTTCTCTAGAGAATTTATTAGCTAATAGCATTTCAATGTGCAAAGATGACTTATGCACCTTATGTTAGATGCCATGAATAGGCACGATGAGTTCATCTGTTTCAGGTCCAAAAAATAATGCAGCAACTTACCCCCAAAATATCTAGTAGCTCACCCTCAAAAAACACATTCACATTGGAGGAAGTACAGTTTTACTTCAGCTTCACTGTAAAACTGTTCTGGCTTAAAGAGTCATTCGTGTATCCAGCGGGCCCACCACGTAGCAGTGACCCCTTGGAATTCCTCACCTTTGGCACTGAAAGCAACTACTCAAGCAGTCTCACCGCCGAGGTCTAGCTGTGTTTTTTAGCCCGGAAGCCAATGGCTGGATTGGTGGAACGGTGGATGGAAGTGGTGTAGGGTCGTGGGGACAAGCTTTCGTGCCTGCTTGAGTTGGATGCTGCAGAGACTGCTTCTGTTGATGATGGTTTGAGACAGGATCCTGAGATGGAGGAGGCCTTGCTGTAGCTTGTTGCGCTTGGCTGAGCAGGGGGTTTGTTACCTGTGTGGGACTGCGGAGATAAGACACTCTCATTCATCTCACAAAAAGGTTATTTTGGCACCATCTAGTGGCTGTTCAGAGAACAGCCAGTTTAAAAAAAAAACAAAAAAAAACATGGAGGTTAACTATGAAATAGCCAGGATTTCTTTCACATACCTTTTGGGAGACAAAATATCTCCTTTTGAATAACCACAAATATTTAAGAAAATCAAATGCAAACCAATTCGAAGCTCAATCAAATGAATGACTGACCTGTGCAGTGGATGTATTGACAGTGCTGCAGGCCTTTGCACTAAACGCACTCTTCTTAACACCGTTAGAGGAGGACGCTGATAGTTTTTTCTTCAGAGGCTATAGGAATGAAATATATAACACATGAAACCCAAGAGGGTTTGAGAGACCTTCAAAGCCGTTTGAGCAAGTCAGTCCACATGTCAGCAATATTAGAATTTCTGGTCATGCAAGTGCAGCTCCTATCTGCTTAAATAGGCATATACCCAACACCACAAAACTGCTTGCTAAATGTTAGCCATGGTTACAATAAAACAAAATGTCAGCTCCCCAAGAAAATCTGACAAAAATGACACCATAAGCTTTGTTTCTTTACCTCAATTCAGGCTAAAAACTGAACTAAAAATAAAAACTGTTGTCTTGTGAATATTGTCTCAGCTAAATGATGTCATTATACAAATATTATATATTAGCTGTGAATATTTTCACAATATAGTACAGCCTTAGTGCTTTTGTAAAATGTCCACCTCATAATAAAATTAGTAAGAATAATTTATTTAAAAAGAAATCCTCTTTTTTTCTTCTCTGCATTTCACATCTGCTCTACCTTTTTTTTCCCTAATGTAGCTTTCTAATAATCCTGGCATTGCATACTATGAATATTGTTCATGGCTCTGTAACAAATTGCTTATGTTCCTCTTTTGTAAGTCGCTTTGGATATTTAGCATCTGCTAAATGTAAATGTAATGACACAAACATTCATTAAAAATACATTCTATTAAGTTCATTAAAGCTGAAGTCCGTAAGTTTTGCCTCTTTGTCGCCATCTCTGTTTGAAAACCTGCAATTGCAGCTGTTTGCGGAATTATCTAGCTTGCGTGGGTTGAGCGCCGGCACGGCTCCAGTGCGGATGAATCTAATGTTTTGAGGAGTATGTGGCACTCAGTCACCGCACCGGTGTGGATATTTACTGTACCTAGCAATCACAGATTCTAGCCTACGTCTTGGAATATATGACCCAAATAAGAATTTTCACCGTATATTGTCATTGAACAAATAAGTAGCAAGTCTGCCACGTTTGTTCTGACCAACTGAGGAAAAAGCATTACAATAAATCGCGCTACCAGTGGTGATTTAATCTAAATTATAATTTAATTATTCCAGCTGCTGCGAGAAAAGGCTATAAACGATCCGCTACCTGCAGAATCCTCACGTGTGATAGTCTAGTAGCCGGGACAACTTCTTTATGTTTAAAGACGTGACGTAATGACGCAGCAGCATGCTCGAATTTCCCACGAAAACCTACCCGTACCACTCAAATTAGAAAACATTATTATAAGATAACCGTTGTGAAACAGGCTAAAGTAAGGCGATAGTTTTGAACACTGGCTGGTTATGCACTTGCTCAAATATTGATTTTGGATTATTTTTAATTCCCGCTTTAAGTGGTATCCTTTAACTAGATATTGAATTGTCTCTAACAAGTAAACAATAACAGAATTCTCAGTGGGTGCAGTGATATACACATTAAATGGTGAGCAGATGATTTGCATCAAAGCATTTATTATTTTAGAACTAAAAAAGGACTTCCATTCCTATGGCTGTGATGAAGGATTGAGATTCGTCCAGACTGCTCTTGAAAATTTGATCTGACTTGTCTTTCATAATACCGTACAATGAACAACAGAATGCTTTTTTTGTATTTGCTTCACTTTTGTATTTGAATGAACGGTATTGTTTTTTTTTTACCTTCTTGTTTTGGGTGGAGTGTTGGCTGCTACTGCTGATATCTCTGACATCCTCAGGAGGTGCTGGGGTTACTGAGAGTTCTTGAGATGTTCTCGGCCCAGACCCTTTGTCCTGAGAGGAAGTAAGAGAGAGGTTTTGCAGTCCCTCACTCATCTCCACACCCTCTTCATCCTCTGGAGCATTCCGGAACTGACGCATCATCTCTAAGACATTTGTACGTGTAACAGCGGTGGAGGTGTCCCCCTGTGAACACAGATTTTCTTTCTTTCAGGTCTTTCTTTCTGGCAGGTTGCACATTTAGTCATCCATCAAATTGAAGAGTGCTAATTAGCTGATTTCTGAATCTATAATATTCATGACCTCATTTTAAGAGTAATTGAGTTCTCTTACCGAAATCCAAGGGTTATCTAGCAGCTCATTGGCTGTGATGCGATGAGCTGGGTCAACTTTCAACAAACACCGTATTACAGTTTTGGCTGCAAGACAAAACATAAAATAGTTACTACACTGGCTGAACTGCAATCATAATGGAACGGTGTGGGCATCAGAGGCAGTTCTAACCTGCATCACTAATGGTGTGCCACACAGGGCCAGAAAAAGTGAGCTCTCCTTTCATAATCATCTCAGAAAGCCTTTCCTTGGAGCTGGAAATGAAAGGAGGCTCTCCACCCAGTCTGAAAAAGAATTACAAACACAACACATACATACACACAAAGTGTAAATCAGCAATGTGAGTCTGTGTGTGGGCATAGGATGGAAAACAACATGGGAGATCTTCTTACAGCATGTACATGATGACGCCAATGCTCCACAAATCACACTGTTGGCTGTACTGGTGACCATTAACCACCTCAGGCGCTGAAAGAGTAAGTCCATGTGTCAATAATGGAAGATGTTTGAGGCCGGAGTAATGTGTGATATCTGATGCGTGACGCCATTGACAGCTTTCAGCCTCTACTCCTTCTCGAATATTATCCAGCTTCACATCACTTAAATTAGGTCATCTCCTCTTTACTGCTCATTTTAATCAGCCCTTCATTCAATTTATTAAACACCCCCCATAGTAATTCATCAAATCACAAGTAAATGGAACATGTGAATGTATGCGTTTGAATGTATGAATTACCCATGTAGATAGGTGTCCCGCAAGTGGCCTGCAGCATGTTTTCACTGCCCACACCGCCCTTCTGCACAGAGAGTCCGAAATCTGTGATCTGAGATGAGACAGGACAGGCCTTTGATATGTTATTCAAAATCAAACAATATTCAACAAAAGCACATACAGGACACGCTAAAACATTTCTTTCTCTTCTTAATTAATAAAATTTTTCATCATTAGATTCTGATCTACTGGAATGTTGAAAGTAATGAACTACAGACATGCTGCACTTGATCACTGTATCTTTCTCGCTTTCACTTCTAGATCTCAATTAAACTATTTACGGCCCAAACAGACTTCCACAGAGCAGCCAGTACACCCACTCGCACAGACTATGCTCTCTTGAGCCATATGAATAATATATATGAGGAGTGTATATCGTTTCATGGGTGCGTCGGGGAGAGCAGGATTAATATCCAGGAGAGATGACCACCTTCTGCCAGATAAAAGCTTTTAATACAGTGCCAGGACAGCGCTGTCTTTGGGCCCCTGTTCTACTCTGATTTATAACACAGCGCTGCCCTGATTCAACCCTCCGCTCCAGGTAGCGGCTTCAGTCGGCTCCCGTCAACGCTCTATTCTGCTCCACGCTGTGCCCCGGCTGGTAATTTGTCTCAGAAAAGCCACTTGTGATTCATTTTCTTTGAGAATGTGATATGAAAGGAGTTAGGCAGGAGGTCTGGTGTAATGAGACAATATTTAAAAAGCAGTTAAAAGGTTTGGGCAAGGAGGACAGTGGGAGAACTAAACAACAGACGAGAATGTCCAGAGGTCCCACCGCGTTTGAATGCCATACCACATGCCTGTGCAGAAGTTTTTACCGTCTCTCTCACCTTGATATTGACCAAATCGTTATCGTTGCCTTGGTGAAAACTCTTCACAAGAATGTTTTCCAGTTTGAGGTCACGATGAACAATGTCTGAGAGAGAGAAAGAAGAAACAGAGCAAGGGAGAGATGGTGGGATCGTTTTATTCATAGAGATGAGAGCATGGCAAAAATGCAACGCATTGGAATGGTAACAGTTTTAAATATGCTTTAATGACCAATTCTAGTGAATTTGTTTGCTCTGTTCCCTTAAAATTGCGATTCATACCATCAGTTCTCATGTGAACCAAGCATACAGTACGGGGCCCACCTCTTTTTACCATTCTACACATCATGATTCTTCATTACTGCTTCACACGTTAACTGTACACACTTAAATAGAAATGTGAAAATAATCAAATTATAATCAGCGTGTGAGGCTAATATACTGCAGTCTCATAAAACACTCTAGTCCTGTATACACATTGCAAGTGGAATCATTAGCTCCTCTAGACGTGAGACACACCAGCACTCGGGGACTGTTGAAAAACACACCTATTAATCAGTATTCCTCCCCTGCTCGTTGTTAATGACTCATTAGCCCCATGTATTGCCAAGCAATGTCCTAAATTACCTCTAACCTCAGATTTCACAAGGAGAGAGAAAGAGAAAAAAACGGCAAGAATCTTCAAATAAACCCCTCAGACTCAATTAAAATGGGCTGATATTTTGTCTGACAGTTGTTCATTATTATCTCATTATTAAAACAAGCCCGATTCTCCGTAATGACAGAGAAACTTAATGTGGATGCAATCATCAGAGCGAATATCAGATGGGGGAACAAAGGAATCAAAGCCATTGCATATGACAACAAAGATGTGAGCAATTTTTCAAGCTTTAGGGTTTTTATTTAATGCATTTCTCTAAAGGTAAGGCCACTGAAATAAAAGAATATAATATGTAGTATGTTTTCAGGGTAAGGAACCATCAACCATAGGCTCATAAGAACCATCTGCTTATGAATGTCATGGGAGGTGTATTGAGTTTTGCAAGCGTCACCTTTTTTATGCAGATAAACAATAGCTTCAGATAAGCTTTTGATGATGTGTCTGGTCTCCTCCTCAGTGAAGTGCTTGTTCTTCTGCAGGAGATCCTTTAGATCGCCTCCTTCACAAAGCTCAGTCACGAGGTACATCCTCTAGAGAATGGCACACAAACATACATACTGTATGTACATTTCTCATTTCTGACATCAAACGAGAAACCGCTGTCAAACACAATCCAGCTGCATACACAGTAGTATGATTCGGTTCACAATAGCACAGCTGAGTGAACTTTAAAGGAAAGAGGAGTGTGAAACAGAGTAGATCATGTTTTTGCTCTCACCTTTGGCGTCTCAAAAACTTCCTCCAGATGTATAATATGTTCATGTTTCACTTGTTTCATGATGTTCACTTCTCTTTCCAGATGTTTTACACCAGAAGTACCTGCCTGCATGGATACAAAGCATTTGTGACACTTGACCCATCCTTGACAACCATGGGAGCGGCTCTCCATCAATCACCTCTGTCAACAGGTGAAACATAACCACCAAACACTTACCTTCTCTTTGTTCACCTTCTTAATTGCCCACTTCCTCTGCGTCTCAATGTGAGTGACTTCGCAGACGACACCAAAGTTGCCTTGACCTAATTTCCTCCCAAAGGAATAGATTTTCTGGGTATCCAAATAAAGAGGCCGCATTATGTGAAATATTACATACACACTCCTTCTCCTATAGTGACAGTAAACAATGCTCCAGCTCTGACTAATGGGGTCAGAACGAGGGTGGGTTTGTTTTTCAGCTTCTCTATACTCCATTAAGTTGAGACCTGAATCCTTAAAGTGGAACTTCATTTTCAAGTTTGCCAGTCTCTGGAGTTTGGGAGAATATAGTATTTCTAATCAAGTTACAAATGATTAAGTTGCTGCTGCAGTTCATTCAATCTCAGGTCTAATTAACTTGATCATTATCTCTGCACATGCAAGGCTGAGCACTGCCTGCTGCGGATTTGGCAAAGACAGCAGTCAGAAACCTCTTGAGAGGGCGAGGGCAATCAACAGCATAAAGAGGTGTAATTTCCCTCCAGGCCTGATGAGGGCGCTACCAGATTGGAGGGAGGTCACGCTAGGGCAAGCAAGGCCATGGCTCTGGTGTAAGATAGAAATGGCCTTTTGCCACTAATTTGAAGCCATAGCTGTAAAGTTAAAATGTATCAAAGACTTCTGCTTTCCTGTCCCAAACCTATGATGGTGCCGAAACCCGGGATCCCTTGCAGTGAGTTTTCTGAAATTTACTTTGGTCAGTCATCAGAATGAGGATTTTTTCACAGTTGATCTTGTGAATTGATTAAAGCTGGCCTTCTGACCACGGAGTAGGTAAGTATGTTTTCATTCTCCATTTTGCATGGTATAGAAATTAGAAGGTTGTAATTAGCTTCAATTGTCCCATTACTGTACACTTCAAGAACATTCAGACTCATCTCATCAGGCATGGAAGGGAACATTTCTGACAGTGACGTATTGTTTGCTTTATGGAACTGCGTTACTGTAAGTGTGTGAAACACTTAGGTTTAAGGTTGTAGATGCTGAGCATTCTAGACTATGTGTCTTGTGTAAAATTGGAATAACTGTACTACTGGAATTGCATAGCAATTTCAAGTTGTATGTGTGTCTATGTTGAATTTGTTTGTCTCCTTAGTGGTATACTCTGCTATTTTCCATATGGCTGCAGTTAAGCCATGTACAGGAGCATAGAATCGCCATGTGGCCACAGTGTGATTCACAATTGTCTTAACAATGAAAATGCTTTCCTCACAACAGGATTCAGCTCTGAACTTTGCACTTTATCATGCTCCTTAACAAAAAACATTGGTATGGAAGCATTTTGAGCCAGATCACACCTCATACTCACATTCTCAGGCTGGCTCCCTGTTACAACAGGACCAAATTTGCATCACAATTGTAAAACTTCCTTGCCTTTGTTTGGAGCATGATTACACTGACACATAGCCACAGCTAAATGCAGACACATATACTACCATTTGATCTTCACACACAGAGTCAAATCTACATCTGTCTGATACTGCCTCATATAATGTTAAGTCTATACATCTGGACTGTATTATAATTGTGAATTTCATCCAATTCTTGTTTGTTTTGGTTTCTTTGGGTTTATCTAATTACTTAGCTATCATCTCACCAAGTTTCAAATGTAAATTAGTATTTCTCACTTTTACCTAAGTACAAATATTTTCATTGATATATCATGTAACTAATTTGATTTCTGTTTATTTGTATGCTGTCCATTTTAGTTGAAACAATGATTGTTTTTGGACATTTGAATTTCTGTATTTTGCTTATACTCTTATTGATGAAGGGGGGTGTTAAAACCAGCAATTGTTGATTTTAGTATAATGCAATTTATTTTAATGTTTCCAAAAACAGTGTAAGAGCTTTTCAGATCATCTTTTGTTCTCACCTTGACCATCTTTTTAAGTGCATAGATTTAAGGGCTTTTTGCCAGAGACAAATTCAATCTGACCACATCAAACCTCTGACCAATGACAAATGCCATGTATACTTTTGCTGTTTGTTGTGCCATATGCTCTTTTGAAATCACAGGATTCCTGCTGCATAAGTTCACATCCTGTGTCCTGCCTCAGAAAGAGGGACAAGCGGATTCTACCATGTTCAGTGCCTGTTCTTGTGGAGGTGTGAAGTATTCAATGGGCGTTTTGCATATCTATGAAGGGTGCAACACCATTCGATGAAGATCTCTCACACAGGGCTGAAAGGAGAACAAAGGCTGACCAGCTGCAACTGCAACAAGTCTGGACCAGAAGACTGAAGATGACATCTGCACAGTACAGAAAGCATGTTTTCATGAACTGTGTCACCCTTTGCCTCTTTTGGTGTGGCCAATGGTGCCAAGGGGGGACTTTGTAAAGTCAAAATGTATCAAAGACTTCTTGGGGCTCTGCCCTCTCTCTCTCTCTTTCTCTCCCAGGTAATATTTTTCATACATGCTGGGTACAATTAACTGTTTATATTTTACCATCCTTCATCTATTTTGTAACCAATTCAAGTGTAACCATAACAAAATTCTGTTATTAAACCATTTCAATTATAAATTATGTGCTAACTATTTTTGATTTAACATTAATATTGAAGTGCTACCTATTGCAATACAATATAGTCACACAATAGCAACGCTCTCCCGCATATTTAGCTATTCTAACTGCACTTATTTCCGTCGTTGGTATAAGTGGCAGTGGGTGGTAATAGACTAGAAATGTACAGTTTTATACCATCGTGCTGATAACGTTTCTTTAGTCATTCGGCAATCCTACAGCCTGAACCACCGTAGGGAAGCCATCCTTACATAGCCTTCTGATGGCTAACAAAATAATGTCTTCGGCGCAGCAAGAACAAAAATTCAAGGGAAAATTGGTTGGGAATGTTCATATGGAATTTAGCATGCACTGCATGTAGATCAATATGGACTCTACCTGTATGTCGGATTCATCCTCAATGCGAGTGTGGGGCACTTTCTTCTCTGCACTGTTTGTGCGAGTCCATTGAGATGGCATTTTCTTTTCTGCTCCAGAAACATTTGTATGTGTCATCTAAGGGTGAGATAAATACATTTTTAGTAATTCACACATATAGAGCAACAACATAATTGCAAACATGGAAACCCTCACAAAAAGAGATCATAGAATTAACGACACTGGGGTATCAATCACTAACTGTGCATGCACCCGTATTTTGGCACGAAAACTGTGAATTTTTTTTAATGCCAAAATAATGATCCATCAATAAATCACACAAAAAATAAAAGTCTTAAAAAAAAAAAAGATTCCAAAGATTGACAAATGTCTGCACAGTAGAGCTTGTATGAAAAGCCCTAATATGACAAGGACTTCCTCATGTAGAATCATCAACATTAGAATAGGTTAACTTGTGTAAACTTTTCTGAATGTAGAAACTTTTATGTGTTCTTATATGCAATTATTAGTGAACAATGACTAGTCTCTCAAAATCTTGTATATTACACAATGTATTGTAAAGTTTCAAATAAGATATCTCATTAAATATTCAGGCAGGAGTAAGTGTCTGTCATCGTGTTCATGCATCTAGGAGTCTAATGTCTAAACCGTAACCCTTTATTAGCTAGGCTTCAACTGTCGCTCTCCAATTCACTTCTCACTTTAAAAGAAAGTGCCTAAACTAACTCCACACTAACATTAAGTACAATTTACTCAGCTTAAAACCATGCTCTAGAGCCAAATTAAATGTAAAGCAATTATGGTGTGATGAGTGGAAGCGGCGAAGTGGATCCGCCACACAGACAATAGATTAAATATTAATGAGGAAGCAGTGTCTTTAACCTCTCCTCTCTCAGTGGCATTATCAAGTCTCGCTGACAGGTCCTCTTATAACAGCACTGCCTCTCTTATTACTGACCATCTATCTGCTAAACAAATTGATTGTGACATTCTGAAAACTCCGATCAGCTCAATTAGTTACAGTATGTGATAAGAGTAGCAGAGGTCAAAGTGTAACACAATGGGGTTCCCTCTAAACAGGCTTAGGAAATGGGGAAAAATGATCACAGCATAGAGACATATGAACTGAGAAGCTGCAACTTTTTGCAGCATTGGCTTTTGCAATTGCAAGAGAATGTGTAAAAGAGATGGTTCTGAGGTGAATGATAAAATGTTGCTGAACCAGTGCTTTGTTAGTAGAGAGGAACTGTGAAGTCCTCTTCAAAAAAGCTCTTAAACTTCAAAAACTGAGTGGCATTTATGAAAAGGTGCATCAGCATTTCACTGGTTTAAATCGGGTAAAACTGCAAAACTCAGATATGAGGGAGCCAAACCAAAATTCATCCATAAATGACAAAACCCCTATTTCCAAAGTGCTAAGATCAGAGGGCAGAACAGTACATTGAAAGCACTCTCCTTATGCTTAACGCTGAATACCTATTGATTAACATTAAAGTTCAGGGATCAACGCTAAGGATTTTTTCTACCCGATCGGGCCAGTGGTTCAAATTTTTACTTGCCCTGCCAACATTTTCACTGGCCCTTCCACAAAAAATAAAATAGTTGCTGTTATCATTGTTTTTGATCTGTTATCTTGTATTCTAATAAATAAGCTTATATGACACCAATATTTTAGATACCAATTCAATTTTACAATTCTCTATTTCAATTTCGATACCACAGCAAAAATTACTAGCCAAAAATAAACATAAATATAAAGTTTAAACATTATTAAAGACAAGTGACAGCCAGTAAATAAGAACAAATGAACAAATTACAAGTAATACAA